CCCCAGCACCCCCTGGCATAACAAGGAATAATGGTCACAAGTTGTTGGAGAGTAGGTTTAAATTAGACATCCGTAAGAACTACTTTACAGTCAGGGCGGCTAGGATCTGGAACCAACTTCCAAGGGAAGTGGTGCTGGCTCCTACCCTGGGGGTCTTTAAGAGGAGGCTTGATGCCTACCTAGCTGGGATCATCTGAGCCCAGTTTTTTCTCCTGCCCAGGCAGGGGGTCGGACTTGAAGATCTACAGGATCCCTTCCAACCCTACTTCTATGATTCTATGATTGAATATGTATGTTATGTCTCTCTCCATGGCAGGCTGTTAGGATGTTAGGAATCAAATACCCTATGAATCAACCCTGTACTGAAAAGATGTATTAATGTGCCCAAATTCAACTTACCTAAGGGATTCTCTCTACACTAACAGTTAGGGTCAAATTTAAAGTCATCCTTAAACTCATATATGCTGACCATCTATTCTGTAAACATTTAAATTTAACCCTTGGCAGCAGTCCAGACCAGCTCTAGAACTCTGTTGAATTTCCAGATGTGATCTTCACTTCACCCTTGTTTCTATTCTATTGCTGATCTTCACTTCTTAATTCTATTCAGAAATCACCCAAGCCTTAAGACTAAAAGTCCACCAGCATCAATCACAGTATTCCTGTTTTCCAGTTCTTCCAAAACCCATTCCCTTCTCTACCATTCATAAGACGAGCAAGACAGACACACTCTGATGACCTATTCTTAAAAGTGAGCTGCTTCAGTAAGGTGCAAAGGATACATATTAGTGCTGCACTCAAGAGATCAGCAGCAAAATGCAGATGGCACTGGTGCAGGCTACAAGGTACGATAAGGTGCAGAAAGGTCATGTGACTCAGGTTGGCTAAGAATGACCTCGAGGTCAACTCTAAAGATCAATGGAGACCTATCCTTAAAGGTGAGTACATTAAAGTGGTATCTGCCAGTTCAGAATGTAGTGGGTACAGTGGGTAAAGATGGAAAGACTCATAATAAAAAGCCTTACAAACACAATAAAAAACAAGAGAGAATTAAAGTGAATTCTAGATAAGGAACAATATTAATGCCTTCTATTACGATAAACAAACTAAGTAAACCTTAATATGTAATATGCTTTCTTTAAGAAAAATATACATCCCTTACCTCTTGGCAATTCTCTACAAGATGGATGACCAATTTTGAAGCAAATTTGAGAGCTATGCTTTGAATTTCAATGCTGTAAAAATAAGGTAAAGAACACATAATAAAAATACAGTAAATTTTGCCATAACTTCACGTTTAAAAACACTTGGTAATCGTAACTGGCAGAAAATATTAAAATATCTTCTCACTTGTTGAATATATTATATGTTGTTAGCTGCTGCCAGCTTGAAATCCAACCCAGTCTAATCTGTTATGAAAGTTCAGCACCTGAATACACACCCAGAGGAGAAATAACATCTGGATTTTTGGTTAGTCATGAGGATTTTGTGTTTTATGAATATGAAATTTTTGGCAGCATGGCAGACTAGGTATTGAACATCCTCAAATGGGTTTTTAAAGGATGGTTTACAAGCCGAGTGCACAATGTCTATACAGTCTCAATATTTGTTGCATATAAATTTAAAATTAAAAGAGACATATCCTGTTCCTTCTGCTTCCATAAAACCTGTTTTATTCCTATTTAGTTCCTCCCTCTAGAAGGTAGGTTGAGGCCCTATACCTAACAGAGGGTACAGACACACGTAACACTTAGCCTGGTTTAAATGCAGTTTCAATCTGAAACTAACAGATATAAAGGTCTGCTAAACTGCTTTTAAAGTTGGCTGGTATGGTCCAAAAGTATATGCGGAAAAAACAGGTATTATTTTGAACCAGCTCATGGTGCACCAGTTCAGGGTTATATGCAGACATCAAGCATTCTTTGACAAAGACCTGTTCAGTTCTCCAGGCATCCCACATTGCATCACTTCTAACTCCCATGCTACTGGAACTGGTCACTGATGCACAGGAAGAACTCAACTGCCCCATTTTTTCCTTTTCTTGGTACTTCTTTTTTTTTTTTAAATCAGTGAGCTTCCTTGAACTGCTTAGTCAACAGAAGCTGTCTTTCTAACACCCAGCACACTCGGAAGAGTTTGGTCAAATGCAGGCTAGTGAACTTTTGTGAACTCATATTTAGGAGAGAATTGAAAGCAGAAAAATGAAAAGTACCCCTATCCCCAGGTCTCCCACCCCCTGAAAGTCTCTAAGCACAGGTGCAGACAACCTCCCCACCAACCTGTCCACTGTGAGGCATGCTGGGCTGGGTGCTGACTCTCACCTCTCCCCCCACCACAGCACTTTGACCTCTAAAAGGTGACCACTCTACCTGGAATGCCCAGGCACTGTATGTGCAGATACCTTTGAGCCATGACAATTATGAACCAGTTCCCACTCAATAACACTTGGGAATGGTTCAACTGTTAGGTGGTGTTAGGTCTCTACTGTAGATACAAGTGGAGATCCTAAGCCCACATCCTTTAAAATTCTTTTAATTGAGAACAGAACATTAGCTATCTTTGCTGACTATTTTCTCTCTTTACATCATTGTTCTTCCACCTGTGTTAGACATTTTAGTCATCACCTTGCCTAACAGCTCTGCAAAAAAGGAGCTGGAGGTTACAACAGACAATAAGCTGCATACGAGTCAGCAGTGTGCCCTAGTTGCCAGGAAGGCTAATGGCATACTGGGCTGCATTGGTAGGTGCGTTGCCAGTAGGTCGAGGGAAGTGATTATTCCCCTCTATTCAGCATGGGTAAGGCCACATCTGGAGTACTGTGTTCAGTTTTGAGCATCCCACTACAGAAAGGATATGGAGAAATTAGAGAGTCTAGCGGATGGCAACAAAAATGGTGAGGAGGCTGGAGGACATGATTTATGACTGAGGGAACTGGGCTTATATAGTCTAGAGAAGAGAAGACAGAGGGGATTTAATAGCAGCCTTCAACTACCTGAAGTTGGGTTCCAAAGAGGATGGAGCTAGACTGTTCTCAGCGGTGACAGATGACAGAACAAGGAGCAGTGGTCTCAAGTTGCAGCAAGGGAAGTTTGGGTTAGATATTAGGAAGGATTTTCTCACTAGGAGGTAGTAAAACACTGGAATAAGTTACCCAGAGAGGTGGTAGAAGCTCCATCCTTGGAGGTTTTCAAAACCCAGCTAGACAAAATTTTGGCTGGGATGATCTAGTTGGGAACTGAAAAATAAATAAATACAGCTAAGATAGGTATAACTAGCTCTGTCCAACATTTCATGGGCTGCATCCGGCCCACAAGGTGTTAGTTAAATTGCAGTCATGAGATTCTACCTGGTCACCGCTGCCAAGGTTCCCAGGCTGCTGATGCTCCTTTCTTCAGCTTTTGCTTCCTGTTCACACCCTTGGGTCCTGGGAGCCCTGAGGGCTCACATGACAGGGGAGGAGCCTGTGCAGCCTCAGACCTATAAACTTCATCAAAATTGCCTAAATTCTTCGAATGAGTTAGCTTGATTAAGAAATTACACAAAATCAAAGTAACTGGTTACACTGATGGAGAAGCTAAGATGTTCTGGCATAACACACTACAGATATCCACTGACACTTAAAAACAGCTCTGCTAACTTTAATTATATTCAAGAGTAAATACCTAAAAGTCTTCCTTCCAATAGAAACAAGCTAAGAAAACTAATCTAAGCATCTGTCATTGTAAAATGACATCATCAAATAAAATAAAATACCTTCCAGTACTGGAGTTGAGATGTGCTGTCTCAACGTCCCAACACATCCACCAGATGTGCTGGGACATTCCATCATGAATGCTCATGGATCACACACACACACTCAAGCTTGGAGAGTGTTGTGATCAATGATACTGATAGGGCATATGCATGTGCCTTGATATTCTACTTCATCACACTGAGGACATGAGGGCCAGGATGTACTTACATTGCTCCAGTTTTTCTTAGCCCTGAAGCCCTGGGTATGCCAGACTGAGGAAAAAGGGCATGGGGACATAGCTTGAAGAACACAACTTAGTGCAGAGTAAATAACCTCCTTCTCTGTCAACTGCTTGTTTATAGGGTAATTCCATTGCAGGGGACTCTAAAGCAGCAACTAGTCCATTCAGATGTGGGATCTCATGCTAGGAACAGATGTTTTATTTATCCTGGAACAAGTTGTGACTGGTTGTTCTGGAGCAGAAAAGCACCAGGAATGCCTGTCCAATCAGGCTGCCACTTTTCTGCGACTGATTCAATGATGCAATCCTGGGAGAACCATTCAGACATACTTTGTCACATCCCAGGACAAACTGTTAGCAGGAAGTTGGGATGGGTTTTAAGGATAACTTGTGAAGATGGAAAACTGTGTAGGGGGGGCCCTGCCATCAGGGCCTGGATTTCCTCAGACCTTCTCACTAAAATGACAAATACAGCACAGAATATGATGCCATTGGCTCAAACAGTGGGCCAATTAGTACTGCAACTCTGTTCAAGACGCATTGTCCCCAGAGATATAGGACCAAAGTTGCCTGAAGTGGGCTAGGTAGTTCCTGAAATGGGCTGAGATGAGGCTAAAATCAATTTTAGAATCGACTGAGTTGATCTGACTCTCTTGAGAACTCTTGTCAATATGACTGCTTATGCCCAAAGGTGGAATATGTTGTCATGGGTTAACCTTGTTCATTAAAGTGCTGCTTTTTCTTAGACAGCTTAGGGGATGTGTGGTGGGAGAAAGACGGCTACCTTAAGGATATTAAGTGTATCATACTTTTTGCACTGAACAACTCCATTCTGTTGAACAGCCAGTCCTCTACAGTAGTCAGCACTTCACAGCAAAAACCGGAACCTGGCAACCTAGATGTAAGCCACATGACCTTGCCATCACCCCTGAACCAGATGTTGTGTCAACTACAACTAAATGTGCATATTAACCTGATCTTGGTTAACATCTGCTTCTTGCCACTGGCAAAGCACACTCCTCTCTATATAACACCGCATATCAAATTAATTTTCATTTGATGGCCAGAATTCACCATTATAATTAATGGGTATTTATTCAGCCAAAGATTGGGGAAAAATGCAACAAAACTGAATGCTTACGAACTTTCAATTCCTTCTTTCCAAGTCACAACAACTTCTTATTTTTAGCTTGATGTTTAATACTGGAAGAGCCCAAGGAGGAAAAAATCCACCCAGGCTAGTTTTCTTTTTTCTCAATCCATTTGACACTCTTAAGTTTTATGATATCTCAGGTGACAGATTAACTGATTATTAGCAAGTGCCATTATTTTTTTATAATCACTGCCAACATACAAACATTCTGTAGGGATTGCAATGTTATGAGTAATCCTGTCAATTTCTGTCATTCCAATAAAAAAAAATTAAATCACTGATACAATTTCTTATAAATGTTATGTTGCAAACTACAGTATTTGATAGTTTAAAATAGATCCTGAGCTCTGGAACTGTTGAATAGATTCCTCATGAACAGACACAAATGACTGATGTGCCCAGTGTGAAGTGTGTATGCATCAAACCACTCTACAGAATTTGGTGCTCGCCATTCAAGAAATGCCATATGACATCTATTGACTCCAATCTCTTACAGCAGGAGCAACTTGTTAGTTCCTAATTACTACTCAACTGTAGATGTGCTGGCCATATTTATTAGATGCTTTTTAGATAAATCAGTTGTCAAAGAATACGGAGCATGTACTTAACATCTCCCCACTGTAACCAACATGCTTACTACCAGGTAACTTATCATGTTAGTACACTGAACAGCTGATATTTTTTTCATATTTAGATTTGGAGTTCAGTGAGGTAAAAGCTAAAACAGTTCAGAATGACAAGTCTTTACTTCAGAAGGAAGTAATCCCAAAGAGGTCATACAGACATGCGGCGAGTCTGCTTATTTCCAGCGCATCGGAGAAGACTTGGCTAATCGAGTCTGCTGGAGCATAGCAATTTCTGTGCTCCAGCATCTCCGCACTGAAAAAATGGCAGTGGGGCAGCTTGAAATAAAACAATTTTGATGACCTCTAATTAAAAGCACCCCACCACCATTTTTTCAGTGCTGTGATACTGAATCACGTGACGCGCAGGCACTTTTAATTAGCACAGCTCGCTAATTAAAGTGCCTGGCGCCGCATCCCAGAACATGTGTAAAAATACCCAGAGACTAATTTAAAACATTTCAATTTGTAATCAACATATATTTTTGTAGACCAGTGAAAAATAAAAAATAGAGACTATACTTGGTGGAGGTATCTGCAATGTTTGTAGTCCAGTTTAAGAGCTCTTTTGGATTCATTTTCATAGAGTCTTCTGTTCTTGGAAGCACATTTTCAAGATCCATGTAATACAGAATCTCCAGTAACTGCATGAATAAATCAGAAATAAAATACTGATAACTAAGGAGACAGTGACTCAACATTTTTTATCAGTTTAGCAGCATGAATTTAAGCACAAATATTTTTACTACCATATTTACTCACATCCAAAACCAGGTTTCCTTACCCATGCAGCCTGGGGAAAAAAGCCCCTCATCTTGGATTCATATAAAAGGCAGGAAGGGGGACAGGTATTCACTCCCAAGTTGGGGCCAGAGTCAGAGCACTAGCAGTTGCCTGCCCCCTCCCCCAACCTGCTCTTGGCAGCCTCTGCCCCTGTATTTCTGTCTCCTCTCCCCTTCCTTTACTGTCAGGAGCAGCTCTGGCTCCACTCACTGCTGGGCACTGAACACATGGAAACTCTGTCACCTGCCAAGCCTATCAGCATTGGTACAGCTCCAGCCCCAAAATGTGTTTGTATGGCTGGGCAAGAGCCATGCATCCATATGCTTTGTGCCTCAGGAGAGAATGGGGTCAGCACCACATCTGACAGTAATAGGAGGGGGAAGGGAGCAGAGGCTGTGGGGAGCAGACAGGGGACAAGAACCAGGGCAGAGGCTGTGGGGGGCAGACACTGTGGGGGGGGGGTCGGATGGGGATGGCAGGGGGCCTGGAGAAGCAGGACGAGCAGAAGGTAAGGAGGCTGCTTGACACCCCCTCCCCCCGCCACTGCTTTCCCTACTGTAGCAGTGGTAGGGGGGGGACAAATTTAAGATGACCCTCTGATAATTCAATTCCATACCTGGAAAATTTTAACAAATTTATAATTTTTTCATATATATTCATAGATTCATACACATTTGGGCTGGAAGGGACCCTGAAGGATCATCAAGGCCAGCTTCCTGCCCCAGGGGCAGGAAGTCAGCAGGGATCATAGGATCCCAGGAAGATAAGCATTCAAATATATCTTGAAGGCATTCGAAGTGGGTGCTTGAACCACCTCCGGTGGCAGTCTATTCCAAACCCTGGGGCTCAGACAGTGAAGGAGTTCTTTCTTATGTCCAGCCTGAATCAGTTGCGGCAGAGTTTGTGACTGTTTGATCTTGTCATCCCTTGAGGTGCTCTGGTAAATAGATGTTCCCCCAGATCCTGATGAGCACCCTGATAAACTTATGGGTGGCCAACAGATCACCCCTGAGCCTGTGCTATTCCAGGTTGAAGAGTCCCATGGCTCTCAGCCTCTCATCGTAAGGTCTGATTTCCTGACCTCTGATCATGCGTGTGGCTCTCCTCTGCACCCTCTCAAACTTCTCCACATCTTTTTTGAATTGCGCAGTACTCCAGCTGTGGCCTCATCAAAGCTGAGTACAAGGGGAGAATGACATCTCAGGATTTGCTTGAGAAGCATCTATGGCTAGCCGCAACATCACATTGAAGGCTCATGTTCATCTTGTGG